TTCCACTGTCAAACAGCTCTTACGGTCAGGAAGTTCGTCCTGTTGTTCAGTAGGAATCTCCTTTCTTGTAACTTGAAGCCATGGGTTCGAGTCGTGCCCTCCAGAGCAGAAGAAAACAAGCTTGCTCCATCTTCCATGTGACAGCCCTTGAGATATTTGAAGATGGCTATCATAGCTTCTCTCAGCTACAAATCCACATTTTACCAGCTTCTCTTTTTTATTATTATACATTTTTATTGATTTTTTAACATATCAGTTCCAACAGTCATACAACATATCATCTTATACAATGTTTTAGACTTCCGTCAACAGCTCTGATGATTTTCCGTTCTTTATCACTTATTCTGCATTTCTTAATTTCTATATTGCATTTAATTGTCCTTAACTAATAATTCTTTTCATAGTCTCTCTTGTAATATTTCAGATAATCCATTTTACAAAACTTTTTGCAGTCCTACTAGCGTAATCTGTTCATCACATTTTACCAGATTCTCAAGAATATCTTGGGGGTACTTTGGCAGTATCGTACTGCTTTAAAGACACAGCGTTATCTCATGAGAATCTTGGGAACTGCAAGGGTGCCCTGTTATATTCATGAAGCTAAAATTCCCAGAGTTCCCTGGGTAGAGGGATTAATGATTAAACTGCTCTGAGAGAGGAGCAGGGGTCTCTTAAAAACTCTCAGCAGTTTTCTTTTTTGTTTTGTTTTTTACATAATTTTATTAATCTAGATTTTTAAGATAACCTACAAAAGAGAACCATAAAACAAAAAAACAAAAAAAACCAGATCAGAAACAGAAGCAACAGTAAAAATACAAAAATCAGTAGATATAAAATCAGTTAAAATCCTGGGCAATCTTATTCTTTTTGAGAATGTCTTAAGACGTGGCTCTCCAGGCAACCCAGTCAGGTTGCAGCATATAAATAATAGTAATTATCATTAAGAAAACCCAGAGAGTGGCAGGGATATTTAGAGAAGGACATCTAGTGCCAGACTTAAGAAACAGGTAGGTTCTTTTTTAAATGAAAAGAAAGATAACATTTTCAATGAATTCATTTCAATGAATATATATCCCCTCCACAGATACTGTATTTTTCGCCCTATAGGGCACACTGGCCCATAGGGCGCACCTAGTGTTTTTTTTTGGGGGGGGTAAAGAAAAAAAAATTCCCCTGACCACAGCCCCCAGAACAGGCTTGCAGATATCTGCTCGAAGCCTGGGGTGCGCTGCGGAGCGCTCCCCAGGCTTCGGGATACAGGCTGCTATCCGCAAGCCTGGGGAGACCGGCGGGAAGTCGCGTTGGGCTCCCAAGGCTTGCGGATATCTGCCTGAAGCCCGGGGCGCGCTCCACTGCGCGCCCCGTGATTCGGGCTGCAGACTGCTGCCCGCAAGCCTTGCGAGCCCGGTGGGCACTCCCGGGCTCCCAAGGCTTGCGGATAGCTTCCTGAAGCCTGGAGAGCGAGAGGGGTCGGTGCGCACCGACGCCTCTCGCTCTCCAGGCTTCAGCGAAAGGCTGCATTCGCCCCATAGGATGCACACACATTTCCCCTTCATTTTTGGAGGGGAAAAAGTGCGTCCTATAGGGCGAAAAATACGGTACCTCTGTGATGGCATTAAAATAGCCTGTTCTTCAATAAAAGGAAAACCAGATTGTATCATCGATTGTATCAATGGTACGTCAGCACTGTTAACAAACTACAGTTCCCAGGATTCCTCAGAGGGAAGCCATGACTGTTTATAAAGTGGTATAGATTTATTCCATTTCCCCAGGGCAAAAAACACTAGAGCAGCTGGGCCTGAGGTGGTGACAGTCCCGGCAAATGCCCAGCTCAGTTCTCTTCCCCGATTCATTTGGCAAATGAAATAAAAATGAATTATCTCCGTACCGATGGTTAAAAACACCCTTTTCAAAAGAGCCGGGGTCTTGAGAAAAGTCAGCTGTCCTACCGCAGCGATACATTTATGGCAAATGCAAAGTAGGTCAAGGGGAGCTTAAGCGCTTAAATGACTTTGTTCCCCATGTTTTGTCATTAGTAAATAGTGCATCCCATTTGAAGAGAGCAATTATTGAAGAAGTAGGGCAGTTGATGGGTGGGGGAGGGCTGGGTAGAAAAATGGGGGAATGGGGGAAGAAAGAGTGTTGCATTTTGGCTGGAAACTCCCAGGGGGGAAGGTTGGGGATATGGGGAGGGAAGTGATCTGGCACAAGGAAATGGTGGAGGCATAGAATTATAGCGCTGAAGGGACGGGTCATCTAGTCCAGCCCCCTGCAGTGCACAGCATAATCTGTTATACTGAAGGACAATGGTGACTTTTTAAATACAGCCATACCTTGGGTTGAAGTAGCTTTGGGTTCAGCGTTTTCAGGTTACGCTCTGCAGTGACCCGGAAGTAACGGAATGCATTACTTCCAGGTTTCACCGCTCGCGCATGCACAGGCGTTCAAAATGACATCACGCATGCGCGGAAGCGGTGAATCACAGCATGCGCAGACACGGGTTGCGTTCGCTTCAGGATGCGAACGGGGCTCCGGAACAGATCCCGTTCGCATCCAGAGGTACCACTGTACAGTCATACCTCATGTTACGTTTGCTTCATGTTACGTTCTTTCAGGTTACATCCCGCGACGACCCGGAAGTACCGGAAAGGGTTACTTTTGGGTTTCGCCGCTCACGCATGCGCAGACACGCAAAATGACGTCATGCGCAGAAGCGGCAAATCGCAACCCACGTGCGCAGACATGCTGCTGCGGGTTGTGCTCTTTTCATGTTGCGAACAGGCCTCCAGAACGGATCCCGTTCGCAACCAGAGGTACCACTGTATTCAACACACCAGCCCCATACTTCATAATGTCTTAGGGTAGATGAGAGCTGAAAAGGCAGCATTCATATGCAGCCTACTGTGTCCAGTTCTGGGCATGCCAATTTAAGAAGGATGTTGACAAGCTGGAAGGTGTGCAGAGGTGGGCAACCAAGATGATCAGGGGTCTGGAAACTAAGCCTTATGAGGAACAGTTGAAGGAGTTGAGTCTGTTTAGCCTGGGAAGGTGAAGACAAGAGATATGATCGCCATCTTTAAATATCTCAAGGCCTGTCACGTGGAAGGTGGAGCAAGCTTGTTTTCTCTCGCTCTTGGCGGGTAGGACCCGAACCAAAGGCTTCCAAGGTACAAGAAAGGAGATTCCGACTTAACATCTGGAATAATTTTCCGGCAGTGGGAGCTGTTTGACTGTGGAATGGACTCCCTTGCAAGATGGTGAATTGTTCTTCCTTGGAGGTTTTTAAGCAGAGGTTGGACGGCTGTCTGTAAAGATCTAGTGGATATTCCCGCGTTCTAGGGGGTTGGACTAGATGACCCTGGGGATTACTTTGAACCCTACAATTCTATGATTCTTTTTTTAAAAAAAAAATTATTAAGAATTTCAACATAACAAATTATCAAAACATATCATCTTCACCCCCTATTCTTTCCCTCCCCCCTTCCCAAGAAGAACCCCCCCCAGACTTTCCTCGGCTCCTCTCTCTGATTTTTCAACACATGTTATTCTCTGCATATTGTAAAATGGTAAAGCTCCTTAAATTATGTTATTTATGTTAACAATAAATTTGTGTATGTTTATTCGAAACCTGCCAAGGAGTCCAATTCCTTTTGTTGTTTTTTTAAGTAGTTTGTAAAAAGTTCCCATTCTTCTTTGAAGTCACAGTTGTCCTTGTCTCGCAGTTTGTATGTCAATTTCGCCAATTCTGCATAATCCACCGATTTCTCTTGCCAAAGAAAGAAAGAAAGAAAGAAGGAAGAAAGAAAGAAAGAAAGAAAGAAAGAAAGAAAGAAAGAAAGAAAGAAAGAAAGAAAACCCTACAGTTCTATGATTCTAACAAAGGTGTACCTTTTGGACCAATTTGTATCTGCCCCTGGTAGCATAGCTAGCAGTCAGGGGTGGTGGGAAGTGTAGTTTTAAAAATACTTGGGAGTGCAACCAGCTTAGGGAACACACTTCAGAAACGTGATTTAAAGAGATAATGTTTTTAAAGCTGGGCTTTTGCTGACAAAGGCTCACTCTGCATGTTGTGCAGGGAATGTAGTCCTATCTTTTGAAACCTGTGCAAAACCTGCCCCCCTCGTTGAGGCCTGTTTAAAAATTGGCCAGCTTGTGCTCACCTGTCACGGAGGTGGCAAGAGAAAGCCATTCCTTTCAAAGCATTGCTTGTTACTCATCGGAGTCACTGGAGGGCAGCACAGATCCACCCAATAACACTTACTGAGAAAAAAGGCCTTCGCTGGGGTTCTTTTCGAAAAGAGCATGCGAAAGTGACGAATGCAGCCTTCAACGTGAATTGAGGAGTGGTGCCTGGCAATGGAACCACCTTCTCCTTTATTTATATTTATTTTATTAAGGTTATCTATAGACTGCTGTTCTGGAGAGACGGTGGTCCAAAATGTGGTTGATTGCTTCAAAGTTTTAGCAAATTTAATCCAGCGCATCACAGCCTTCAAATATTTCAAGACCCAATCTAGTTTTTGTAGCCTCGACTGCCACGGTGACCTCGAGCCCACTCAAACTTGCGGCCCTTGGATCTGATTCAGAGGCCTGGAAACGATGCCTTATGAGGAACGGCTAAGGGAGCTGGGCATGTTTAGCCTGGAGAAGAGGAGGTTAAGGGGTGATATGATAGCCATGTTCAAATATATAAAAGGATGTCATATAGAGGAGGGAGAAAGGTTGTTTTCTGCTGCTCCAGCGAAGCGGACACGGAGCAATGGATCCAAACTACAAGAAAGAAGATTCCACCTAAACATTAGGAAGAACTTCCTGACAGTAAGAGCTGTTCGACAGTGGAATTTGCTGCCAAGGAGTGTGGTGGAGTCTCCTTCTTTGGAGGTCTTTAAGCAGAGGCTTGACAACCATATGTCAGGAGTGCTCTGATGGTGTTTCCTGCTTGGCAGGGGGTTGGACTCGATGGCCCTTGTGGTCTATTCCAAGTCTATGATTCTATGATTCTATGATGTATGGCTGTGTCGGGTTCCAGGGGCCTTGCCAAAATGCCTATAAACTTTGCGAGCCTTCCAGGGTCCAGAAAGCAGAACAGTTCCTTGGCCCTTGGGGGCAGCCAACTGGTCAAAAGTCATGATCTGGCCAGCAGCTTTCAGGATGTGGGTACAGGCTCCTTGGGTCACTCTCAGGACACAAGCCTTCAGTTTGGGGATTTCCTGGATGTGAACATCATCGGTCACTGTACCCACCACGACAGCAGTTTTGTTCTCCTGGCCTGGGAGCTTCATCTTACGGATCATGCGGGAAACGGACAGCGGAGACCTGTTGGTGTGGCTCATAAAGAGCCGTTTCAGAATCACCTTGTTGAATTTTGCATTGGTCTGTTGAGCAAGAAATATGTAGAGCTTGACCAGGAGGCGAAGGTAGATATCCTGACCCTTAGGCTCTTTGCGTCAAATTTTTGGTCCTTGTTGTGGCGTATGTCGACTCCCATGGCAGCGCCAGCGGTGCCTGGAAAAAAAGCGTTTCAAAGTTTTGTCACCGGGTGTGTGGTAGACTCACTGAATGGGGTAGCTGAGTGTCACGGACTGGTAGGATCGGAGGGAGGAACCAGCTGGGGAACCCCCAGGGAAGAAGGCTCAGAGCTTGGGATGGTGGTGGGACAAGAAGTAATCAAAGGGAGAAGACTCGGAGGAGGTGTCAGAAGCTGAAGACGCAACAGGGCTTAATGAGCTGGGAGAGTCTGTGGCAGAGAGAAGTCCAGAATTGGAGGTAGAAGCTGAATCAGGAGAGGAGGAATGCCCAGAGGCAAAGAAGTCCAGAGGTCTTTCTCCTCCTGACAAGCTCTCCTCCCCCTGGTCTCCCAGAACCACCAGCAGAGGCCTAAAATCTGCAGAGGAGTGATTGGCTGTACACAAGTGGTGTCTCAGATTGCTTGGGGGTAAACCCTGGAGACAAGGGCCCTTGCACAGCCGTGGGATGGCAGGGACCTTCCGTCTTGGCAACTGATTCTAGCAGGGATGAGCTGCTGTGCTCAGGAGGCCTGATACTCAACCAACTATGTGCAGATTGTGATTTTGCTAATAAAGAGTTAACTCCAACTTGCACGGTGTGATTTACTGCTGGCTCGCTTCTGACACTGAGTTTGCACACCAGTCTTCTCACTTTTGGAAAACTGGAGGACCCAGGAGGACAGCTGCCGATGTCCACCTACCCAGAAGTGCAACTGATCAGCTCTTTGAGAAGGCAAAGGCAGCCTTCGTGCTGGGAACCTTTTCATGTAGGAACAAGTTTCGCTGATAAGACAAAATAAATGACTCTGGTTTTTTTAAAAAACCAAACAAGCACCAATATGGCTGGGAACACCTGCTGAAAACATCAGGCCTCTCTCACCTGGTTCTGCTCACTCTGCCTCTGCCCGTCGAGGACCGCAAAGGCCATCTCTAGAAAACTGGTGTGGGTTAGGAGCAGAATAAGAGCTTCCTGGGTCAGGTCAAATGCCACCTTGTTGAGCATCCTGTTCTCACTGTGGCCACCAAGATGTTTGCGCAAGCTGGACCCGAGCACAAGAGCAGCGAGAGGCTGGTGCGGAGTCACACCCAGTGAGCATCATGGCCGAGCATGGATTCGATCCCTGGTCTCCCAGGTCCTGTTCCGACACTGCAGCCACTGTGCCACACTGGCTGTAAATACTGGAACAGTGACTCACATTGGAAAAGCAACTTTTAAAAGGCTGGTGTGCGGAAAAGCCAGAGAAGCACAGTATTCAGAGAAAAGAAAGCACGTATCCCTTGGGCCTGCTAGTCTTCCCCAAAGTGTTGCTGCAAGACATAAGAAATTGCCAAGGGGCCTTTTGTTTTTGTGTGTGGAAGACACAGGAGGTTTCCTGCAAGCAGAGAGAGAGAGAGAGAGAGAGAGAGAGAGGAGAGGAGAGGCTGGCATCACCTTCTAGGTGGTTCTGATCTTAGGGTGCATTCAGAAGAGGACTTACTCTTTTAAGGAGGTTGCTGAGATATATCGCAAATGGGTCACGGGCAGTGTTTGTTTTTTAATTTGCTAAATTTCCCTCGGTAATGGTCAGTCTGGATTTGATGGTGGAGGGGCAGGGAACAGGCGGGTACAGTCATACCTTGGGTTACAGACACTTCAGGTTGTGTTTTTTCAGGTTACGGACCACCAAAACCCGGAAGTACCAGAATGGGTTACTCCCAGGTTTCGGCGGTTGCGCATGCGCAGAAGACCAAATCGCAACTTGCATGTGTGCAGACACGCAGCTGCGGGTTGCAAACGTGCACCCCGCACGGATCACGTTCGCAACCCGAGCATCCACTGTATTAGAAATGGGGTGCAATTTGATTCCGTTTGCATTTAAAGGCAAAGCCACCTAATTTGCACATTCTGAAACAATATGAGAACTGAAATGTAGCCATCGTTTGAAATTTGCACTTCTCTTAATTTTGGGAATGTAGCATCGCAAACAACTAACCAACCGACTGACAAAAAATTATATATGATCAGGACAAGTATACTGTACATAAAGATGAATACATTAGAGAAAACAGCACTTATAATGCATTTGATTATAGATAATCACATGCAAAAAAAAATTTGTGCTATTAGGAGAAAGTCACGCCTAAATATTGGTGAGTTTTCATTAGGTTTTTAAAAATATATATTTTTTAATTGTTGTGATTAACAAAACCCCTGCAAATTGCAGAAATGTTGCATTATTTTTAGACTGTTTAAATGGTTTCAGAATAATGTACCTTTGTTTTTTGTTGTAAAATTGTCCATCTGGTGCTCTGGGCTCCTTGGGGGAGGAAGGGCAGAGTATATATATTCAATAAATAAATAAGTATTGCAAAATATACACATTTTAATGCATACTTTCCCCCAGCAAGGCCAAACGCAGCAGCTTTTCTTTAAAATATGCAGCACCACAAAAGAGATACGCTGTACTTTCCGGGGACAGATTTCCCATATCTGCGCCTCGCATGCACCGCATTTATTTGTTTTTAAAATCTCTGTTTGTGCACCTGCAGAGAACAGCTCTCGCTGCCAACCACATTTGGCACCCGTTGGATATTCTGGAAGGTGGCCAGGTACCAGGCAGACCCCCCCTTCAGCTTGTTCATGATGTACCCAGCTAGCATCACGCTTGAGCTGCCGTCACCCACAGCCAAGAGCTGCTTTCTATCAATGCTCAGCTGACAGGCCCTGAACAGTGGGAGTGGTGCATTAGCAAAAGATCAAACGCAGATCAGGAAAGGGCAACCCAAATGCCCGAGCAACGAGGGAGAAGCAGCTGCCATTTGTCTCCCCTTTGCCACCTGGAGATGCTGTCTGCAGTTCTCAACCCAGTTCAAAAGAAGCATCGTGGATTTGGAAAAGGTTCAGGGGGAAAAAAGGCAAACGACATGATCAATGGGATGGAGCAACTCACTTCTTAGGCAAGTTTGCAGGGGCATTTGTGTTTAGGTGAGTGAGAGGAGACACGATAAAGGGGTATAAAATTACCAAAAAGTGTACATGTGTGCACAGGGGAATTCTGTCTGCCTTGCAACAGTAGAAATTGAGAACGTCCAAGAAGCTGAATGATGGAAGATCTGGGAGATGCAAAAGAATTGTATGCACACTGAGCATCATTAAACTATGGACTTTACTATTGCAAGGGGGAGTGATGGCCACCAATTTGGGTGGTTGTGAAGATGAGATAAATTAATGGAAGAGGCAGCTATTAATGGCTCCTAGCTGCAATGTTCTCCCATTTACCGTGGGAAGGATGCTGTTGCACTCAGGTTCTGCCAGGGACATCTGGTTGGCCTTTGCAAGAACAGGATGCTGGGCCAGATGTGTTCAACCTTATAGGGGTGTTTGTGAGACACTTCACAGGAGTAATAGAGGCGCAGACCTACATAAATTCACGGGTGTGTTTTGTGCATGGAGCTTTATGTTCCATCTGTTTCGCCTTCATAGTCTCTCTCTCTCTCTCTCTCTCTCTCTCTCTCTCTCTCTCTCTCTCACACACACACACACACACACACACACGTGCAATGGACTGGTTGGATGCAAAGTAGTGGGGGGAGGAACCAGCAAGGGAACCCCAAAGAGGAGAAAGTTCAGAGCCCAGGTTGGTGGTGAGACAACAATGAGTGGTCAGAAGGAGAGGACTGGGAAGAGGAGGTGTTGAAAACTGAACAGGTAACAGGGCTTAGTGAGCGGGGAGAGTCTGTGGCAGAGAGAAGTCCAGAATCAGAGGCAGAAGCGGAAGGAGAGGAAGGCCCAGAGGCAGTGATGAGTCTGGCTGGTGCAGTCACAGGTGTCTCCCTCTCCTGCTGTGAACATCTCCCCCCCGCCCCCATGTCTCACAGAACCAGAAGAGGCATGAAAAGAGCAGAGGAGAGGTTGGCTGCACATAGGCACAGTCTCTGATTGCTTGGGAAAAGCCCTGGAGAGGAGGGGACGTAGATGGCTGCTGTGGGGAGGTGGAGATTTTCAGCCTCGGCAACTGACCCATGGGGCAAGACCTACCGGGGATGAAGTGCTCTGCTCATTAGGCCTCACAGTCATCCAAGTCTGTGCAGATCGTGTTCTTGCGAATGAAAAGTCCCAATTTTCATGGTGTGATTTACTGCCTGCTCACTCCTGACAATGGGCAAACATTTATGGTAACGTTGCCTACTGCATCCCTTCCCACCAAAAGTATACTCCGTTCCTGCAATAAGCTCTTTTTCAAAACTTCCAGGCAGCTAAGAATCTTCATAAACATTCCACGCACGGCTCCTTGTTAAACTCATTTCAATATACTGAAACCAGAGTTCTTACAGAAAAGAGCTACGGGGGTTTGTGAAAACTGCAATTTGCATGTGTTCTCCTCAGGTTTCCTCTATCCCATTTGTTATTGCTGAGTTTGTTTTCCCCAAAGTAAATCGGCAAACACTTTCCCCCCTCAATGTCTTAGCATGCACTGTGCTCTGCCCCCTTAGTGGCTCTGCAGCCACAGTTCAGATTATCCCTTAAGAGATTACCCAAAGCTGTCTTTGACTTTCCGAATGGATATATAGATAAGCAGCCACAGATTCCACCACTCTGCTGTTATTTCCAAAATCTGCCTTTATTTACAGTTCAAGTCAAATCACATGCAAACATTCCCCTCCCCCCACCCTCCCCGCATTTAAGAATAGCGATTAGCAAAAAAGATGCATTAGAATTTTAAAATAGCAATTAAATATACAAAAATATAGTTTACAAAATAAAAACCCAGCATGTTTTCTTTGTGTCTTTTCTCTTTAAAAAAAAAAAAATTCTGCTGCAGAATTTTATTTATTTATTTTAGTGTACAAATGTCTCCTCCAGGAGGACTTCTAAATTCATAAACTCTCTCGCGAGTCACACGCTATTTACAAAA